CAAAAAAAAGATAATAAAAAAATCCCATGTTTGCTTTTTTTAAGCCCCAAAACTCCTCATTCTTCTGTGGATCCACCAGGAATATAATAATAATAATAATAATAATAATAATAATAATAATGATAATAGTATAATAAAATAATAATAATAAAATAATAATAATAATAATAAAATAATAATAGTATAATAAAATAATAATAGTATAAATAATAATAATAATAATAATAATAATAAAAATTTGGCTTTTCTTAAAAATACAATAAAATAAAAAAGCTAAGACAAGTTAAGTGTGCCGAGTTATACTAACTAGTTATTCAGTGAGAATGACTAACATGAACTTAATGTCTTATGCCAAAGGAAAACAGTTAAATGCAGTTTATATAACCTGAGTCCTTGAAATCAAAGCAAACGGACTTCCTTTTGTTCATGAGGACAGTTCTCCTCTCCTCCAAGAGGCTTCTTCAGTTGTTCGTGTAGAGTCCCAGCTATTTAAGCACAAGTGGGGGTTTCCCTATAAGTGTGGTGCTGATGCTAAAGTTGGAAGACAAAAACTAATTTTGCTCCTTAGCAAAGTTTTTTCTTTCCCCAACTTGCCTGATGAGTCATTTAAAGATTTTATTGACACTCTGGACGTCTACAGCACTACCATAGTTTTTACTGTAATACTTGTACTAATTTTCCTAAATCTTGCCCTCTATTCAGTAATTTAAAATATTTTAAAATAATATTTCCCATTTTTCAATGCATCCATATTGGCCCCTCCCTACCTGCGCGACTGACTCCACACTGATACTCCCACTCTCAGCCGCTCTGCTAGCCAGCTCCAAAATTCACTTCTGATATAAGTAACACAGGCTCTCTTCCCTTATTCAAGTCAAACCTCAAAACCCATCTCTTCAAACCAGCTTTTATTTTACCTTTTTACTGTTTGTCTTTTATGCTTCGTACGGTGATCTTGGCTTTTAGAAAGATGCCCACAAATCAAATGTGTTATTAGTATTACTATTAATAATAATAAAAAAGACTTAAACTAACACTGAAACTAACAAAAGCTAAATAAGATTCACTGTGGAAACTGAGTGACCAACAGTGTGAATCCTATGTGACCCCCACTCACGGCCTCTGTTCAATAATGGTCATCCACAGTAGAGACAGTTGGCCTCCTTTCCTTCTAAATTTCTGACTTCTCAGTTCAAAATGTGAACATTAGCATCCTCAGTAGAGCGTCCTTTCTGCTTTAGGTGTGGCTATGCCAACGCAAAACTCAACAGACACGAGCGCAACGACGCAGAGCCAGCGCAGCCGGACGAGCCTGAGCCGTACATCTGTGCAGCGTTAAAGGAACGCTGCTTTTATTAACATCTGGGCACCGACCCGGAACGTGAACACTCACCGGGAGTTACTCAGCGCTGCAGGAGCCTCAGTAATGGTGGCCAACAACAGCTAAACCTTAACATTTTTGTCAGCTACGCAAACACTGGAAACCACATCGCACAGCCGCAACAAAATGACTGGAATGACTGAAATAACAATCACAACACAAGCAGAGTTAAACATTAATATTCCCACAAGGCACTGCGAGGCTTTGCCAATGCAAAGTGTTCTGTACTTCAAAAAACAAGCCATGAATTATTAAAAGGAAACAAGTACGCACAAACACACTCCTCAGTCTGTTGGATGAAGGTTAGGATAACTCAACATAACTCAGTAAGCTTCAAAAGCACAACTAAGTTAATTAGACCAATTAAATCAGGCGAAAGTTGTTTACAGAGCTTTATACGGCAGACAAGGAGTCCATTAAGGTACCATTAACACTTTCTGTTGAGTGAGTTATTAATGAGAATAAGTTGTAATGGAGTAGGACATGAAATGAAGCCAGATGCCTAATTATGTGTACTTTGTGTGTGTGATGTTTATGATGATGGCGATGATGCAGAAAACCAGCAGACCCCCCTCTCACACACACCTTCCTTGCCTGGTCATTGTCTTCGATCTGACCCAGATCCCTGCCGCTGGCCTGGGCGATCCTCTTTCCCGACACCAGATTCCCGACCATCACAGACGCAGGACCGATCTCTGGAGGAGGAGCAGGGAGACGGGACGAGAGCTCGGTATGAACAAGAAATAGTTGCACGCAGAATCAAGCCGCCCATTCAGCAAATACAATAAACAGATTCTACATTTTTATCTGATTACAGTCAACGATAGTTAAAAAACATTAATGATCTGATGAGAACGGAGGTAAAACTAAAGACCGAAAATGTTTTAAATGCAAAAATACGGATTGAATTGTCACGGCAGGAAACGCACAGCTGTCAACAATGTCTGCGATGTAATTGAGCGCCGCACAGGGCCGTGACAGACCGACTGTGAGTCAGCACGCACAACATCAGCACCCTGGAAGTTGGGCGGCCAAATTCAGAAACTGATTTTTTAATTTGTGCTTTTTTGGAACATTTTTGTCTTCGATTCTCTTTTCTTTGTTTGGGTCGTTCCATCTAAACTCCGGTTGACGCCTCTGCTTGCCTGAGCTGGAAACGGTGAACACATCCAACCACTGAAGCCAGTGTTCGGCTATTTTGTCAGAAGTCACATTCACATACAGTGACATGCTGCCCATCATTTCAAGTTCAGATGAGGAGGCAGGAGGGGTTGTGATGTGACAGCTTAGAAAGCTTA